CTAGTAAATACAGATTGAAAAATGTTGCCACGGTCATTTATGTTAAAAAAAAACAACAACGTAGAGATTCAGATTCAGTAAGAATTACTAGAAGCAAAAAAGGTGATAGGATTTTAAAATCGAGACTGATTGATACCCAACACATTTGACATTGAAAAGAACTAGGTTTAATTTATCGAATAGCCTTTCCAAGAGGCAATAATATTGAAGACAGAGAATTGGAAGTGATTATAGAATAGTAAGATTGCACAGAGATCACAATGGTTTGGGAGAAGTCAACAATGGCATCAATTGTTATTGGATCCTGGCTAAATTTGGAACAAGTTATAACAGCGCAGTTACAATTAGCAGCACTGATTGGCACCCCATACTTAATTAGATGCTACCTTTGTGAGGCTTGAGTCATGTTGAGGAAAAGCAGCCGCCACTGGCTGTGATACGTGGTTAGTGGAATTGAAGTAATAATGATAAATTGTACAAGGCATGTTGGGAAGGAAGATTCCCGATTATGAAATGATTACACTTTAGTTGTCAAAAGAGATATTCTTTCCTCCAGGATGCTTCTCTTAACAGCTGTTTCGGTCCCAGGTAGAAATAATTTCAAAGCTTTTCAAAGGGTTTTCATTCCATTTTCCCAACTCACCATCATCAACCATTTGAAATAGATGCCCCTTTTTTTGCAGCCTATGGTCAAAACAGAAAAAGTAAACAGCAATTTAATCCATTCTTATTTGTGCGAAAAACCCAAATATAAATGTCTTTATTGTTGAAATTAAAGTGAATTCAGATTCAGTACTGCATTAGCTTTAGAGGGTCAGTTTGATGTGGTGGTTTGCCAGAAACCAGGAGAGTGGGATTCTAGCCCAGTGGTGAGATTCAATTTTTTTTACTACTGGTTCTGTAGACATGGCTTTATGGGTATGATGTGGCTTTGCGGGCGTGGTGTGCTTTATGGGCGTGGCTTGGTGAGCATGGCAGGGGAAGGATACTGCAAAATCCCCATTCCCTCTCCACTCCTGGGAGAAGGTGACTGCAAAATCTCCATTCCCTCTCCATCCCACTAACCTGCTTTCCAGTTCTGTTCTCCTGTTCAGGGCAACAAAAGAAGATCAGCTGGGAGGTGGCGGGAGCGGGACCAGCCTACTTGGCGGTTCTCCGAACTACTCAAAATTTCCGCTCCAGAACCTGCCAAAACTGGCTGAATACCACATCTGTTCTAGTCCTTCTTGGGCACAAAGCAAGTGGGTTACTCACTCCCTCATTTGGGTCAGTTAGTCTCTCTCAGCCCTAAGAAGCAGGCAATTACAAAACTCTTAGGAAATCTTACCAAGAAAACAACAGGGACTTGTTCAGCAATCTCCAGGGATCATCCCTGATTCAAAGGCATACAGACAAACTGCTTTCAAATGCAGAAGCTCTCTGATGATCCAAAGCAACAGCAGGGGAATGTAGCAGGCCATCCTAACACCCAATGTCCAGAGAAGGCAATGGTGAAATTCAATTTTTTTACTACCAGTTCTGTGGGCGTGGCTTGGTGGGTGTGGCAGGAGGAATGATACTGCAAAATCCCCATTCCCTCCCCACTCTGAGGCCAGCCATTAGTAGTATTTGCTGGTTGTCTGAACTACTCAAAATTTTCACTACAGGTTCTCCAGAACCTGTAAGAACCTGCTAAATTTCACCCGAGAGAAGGCCCATCCCATTCCAGCATCCACTCGGACAGTAAAATAAATCTGACAATATCTTTTTCAAACCTTTAAAACAATGGCAAAAACTGACATAAAACAAAATTGACATACATGGTTTTGTGTAGCACAAATGCTTAGAGTGACTATGCATCAGTATTAATTTGGGGACCTTTGCAAGTAAATAGATGCTGGCATTTTAAAAGAAACAAAACAACAATAATAACACCTTTTTCAAGGATTTAAAAACAAAAACTAAAGAAATCAGATTGTAGGAGTCTCCATTGTTTTCCCCCTTCATTTTAATGTTAGGTGCTGTTCAGTGGTCTTTTTTTTAAAGTAATTGTTCAGCTTTAACAGTTACTCTAATTTAATAAATCTTAGTTCTTCTAATACCATGATATGAACAGACAAAAATGTTTTAAAAATAAAGCCTTCTATGGTAAAGGAGTGTTTCAGTGAGTTTTGGCTTTATTTCCTGAAGGAGAGATTTTTGGAAAGTTCTCAAGCATTTATATAAAGGAATCCATTAATTTCTGACCCCTCCTCACTGTTCTCAAACTCAAGCCATATGTTCCTAGTGAAGCACTGAGAGCTGCAAAATGAAGCTCAGCCTTGCTTGAAACGTGGAAAAAGGACACTTGCCAATCAGAGGGATTTGCAGAAATAGACAACTACCCAGCTCTGACGCTAAGGGATCCTTTTCCAGATCAAAATCTCATCAAATCTTGGCAACTGTTAGGAAGATAATAATCTCTATCTGATACACTTTGCACAAAATGAACTCTCGGTCTGTTAGCTATAGGCAGGATTGCCAGATCTAGTTTGCAGAGCTAAGAGATACAAAAAGAGCTAGTTATATAGCTATGAATCATAGAAACAGTAAACACACGCACGGACACACGGAAGGACACACGCTCACACACAGGCACACACGCACACACACGTACACCTGCTGACATTGCCCAGATGCATATTAGGAAAGACCTGGCAAAGGATGAACACAGCAAGACTGTTTGGAGAAATGAATAGTAGGTTTAGGTTTAGGTTTTATTAGGATTTGTATGCTGCCCACTCTCGAGAGACTCAGGGCGGCTTACAGATAAAGCGGGGAGGGGGGGGGACATATAAAAATGAAAAAGAACAGACATTAAAATTACACAACATTCATATAACTTAGTAGATAAGCAATCTGATGAGGATATTGAAAGCTTAATTTAAACCAGCAAATGAAGTGAACAAGCCTAAAGCTAACTTCATGCTTCTTTGACATGTTGGCCTTGTTGTATGAATCATTTGCCTTTTGCAGAAAGAGTACATCCATAAGAAGCAGAACCTCACAACTGTGCAAAAAGATGACAGCAGAACACTGCACACCTGGGGAGAAGGCAATTAACATTAATGTTAGCATTGAGAGATAGCTCAGGTCAAGGCATAGCGGGGATTCCAGAAATGCTTATTACTGTGGAGTAAGTTAACAGTGAAGAAAACAAATAAATGGAACACCAAACAAATGAGCCCAGAATTCTTACTTGAGGCAAAAATGACCAGGTTTCAAATTAATCATACTTGTTTTGATACATTATACAAAGGCCTAATTCTCTGGAGAAAACAATATTGCTAGGAAAGTGGAAAGAAAGAGAAGGACAGGATGGCCAGCAATAAAATGGATTTACTCAGCTACAGTGTCAAAGGTATCTACCATTGGACTTGAAGGACAAGACGGGGACACAGCATCCTGGAGAAAATGTATCCATGTGGTTGCTAAGAGTTGACATTGACTTGATGACATATGATCAATCAATCAATCACAGTAACACAATTAGGAAAACCTCTCTGAAATCTTCTGTACAGATAAGCCTCAACTAAAAAAAGTAAACCAGTACTCAGATGCCCCCCCCCCACGGTCATGTGATCCAAATTTGGGTGCTTGGCAACTGGCATGCATTTACAATAGTTGCAGAGCCCCAAGATCACATGATCACCATTTAGGATTATCCTAGGGGCTTCTGACAAGCAAAGCCAGATTCCCTTAATGACCATGTGATTCACTTAACCACAGCAAACACGATTGTAAATATGAATGTGACTCACTTAGCAACTGCATCACTTAGAGAGGGAAGTTCTTGTCTTGATTAGAATGGTAAATAAAGGATCAAGTGTACCCATTTTTAAAATATGACACAATTAAGGCAGAGTTTTTCTGAATCTCTTTCTCACATGTTCTGCTGTCCCTGGGCTGAACAATCATTTCACCTCTCACTCCTAGTCCTAAAGACCAAAACTAAATTTTTCAACAATTAAATTGGAATGTCAGTCTTTCTGTTTGAAGACTATTTGACTTCAGAGGATAGAATTTATGGTGAAAGGCATTGCCCACTCCTCAAAAGCCACCCCCCAACATACTTGGAGCAGTTTCTCACACACAACCCGGATCTCATATTTATTATCTTGCAGCCAGATCTCATATTTATTAAGGCTGCTTAATTGAGTGTGGCCTGGCAGATGAAAAACAAAGAAAAAATAACTTAGGTATGTCTAGTCTAGTCTGAAAAGAAGGACTAGAGGAGAAATGATAGCAGTGTTCCAATACCTGAGGGAGATGCCACAAAAAGGAGGAATCAACTTATTTTCCAAAGGACCAGAAGGCAAGACAAAAAAACAATGGATGGAAACTAGGCAAGGAGAGAAGCAACCTAGAACTAAGGAGAACTTTCCTAACTATGAGAACAATTAACCAGTGGAATGGTTTGGCTTCAGAAGTTGTGAGTGCTCTATCACCAGAGGTTTTTAAAGAAGAGATTGGACAACCATTTGCCTGAAATAGTATAGGGTCTCTGCTTGAGCACAGAGGGTTGAACTAGAAGACCTCCAAGGCCCCTTCCAATTCTGTTATTCTGTAATCCAAGACCAGAGAAGGATGTTCTTTTCCTTTCACCTCTGGATTTTTCCTTGCATTCATTGTAGGATTCTGCCATCTAGTGGTTCATTGATAGGACACTTAGTAACGAGATTAAACCAAATTATGGAGGTAAACCAAAATCAACACTCAGAAAAGCAGAGGAACTGAAAAAACATTGTGCTTCTAATATTATCTTAGTGAGAATGGACCTGTATTGTTGTTCTTTGCTTTGAAAAGAGATACATGAAGTAGTACATGCATATACTTCTGTGTAAAACAGTTTTATCCATCCTAAAAACCTAGAGCAACTGTGGATGTAGCAGTGTCCTTTCTGTTCTCACGAAAAGCGTCTTTTCATCCAAATTGGGTAGTGATGGATCCAGTGAAAAGGAAAAAATAAACCAGTATGTGTATAGGTTTTTAAAAGCTTTAATTTAAAAAGAACATTAAGACGCTTAAAAATATTAATGATGAATGAAATCGGTAGTAGCACATTTTTTAAACAGCAGGATAATTACATTAGACCTTACAGTGTATTATGAGTAGGGAGAATCGTAGATTTATACCCCTTCCCACCATCTTCTGCACCCACACTACAAAGTAACTTTCTCTAATAATCTCTTTGTGGTTTTTTTCTCTCTCTCTTCAAAGCCAAGAAGAAAAATCAAATATTTCACACAGCATTTCATCAGTTCAGATGTCAGTACAATTCCGGTAAGCTTCAAGACCCCGAAGAGCTAAATTTGTATTTGAAAAGGCTATATGGTTCACAAAACCATTATAGTACTGACATGACCCTCCAAGATGATCTGTCTCAACTGCTTGCACATGGCATTTCTGTCAGGGCTTTTGATAGCAGCTGAATATCTGCTTGTGGAGAACAGAGGCATCTCTGTATTTTTCATGTATCCAATTATAATTTTCAACTGAACTTTTCCTTCTTTTTTCGCCAGCATCAACACTTCAAGAGAGGACTGAGTGTTAAAACCGTGAATAGGCATTAATATCAGATAACAAATTGGGGATTACGTAACCAAAAGCAATTCTATTTTTAAAAAATCCAGTAGCATATAGAAAATTGGGCCTCCAACAAAGGGTTCCTATTATAAGTTTTCCCCTTGCCATATTAATTTATCTGTGTCTGAACATGAAAGATGCAAACATTGGTAATTAACTTATTTATTCATTATTTGTTTATTACAAGCACTTTTATCCCATCAACCTAACTTATGACAATTTAGACTAAATATCAAAACCAACAAAAAAAAACCCAACAATAACAGTAAATTTAGAATAGAAAGAACCACCCAATCTGTTGAACACTAAGAGACCTAACACCTAAATATCTGTTCCAAAAATAGTCTTGACTATCTTATAAAAGTGCTAACAGGGAGCAAGGCTATTACTCAGTACTAAAGTCCATTTCTGAGTCCTCCATCATCCCCTAACCCAGCAGTCCCCAACCTTTCCAGCTCCATGGACTGGCAGTGGCCCAGTTCCCAACAGGTCATAGACCAGTACCGGGCCGTGGCGAGGGTGGGGACCCCTTCCCTAACCAACCAACCTGATTTTCCTCTCCCCATCATTACTGACTAGAACCATCCACTTAAGGAAGGAACAGAATAACTGGAAACGATGCTCACCAGTAAGTAAGGTGGCCAATGGGGTGATACCAGGGGGATGGGACACAAGAAGGGAAAGTTAATTAGGGAATCTTTGCACACAAACTCTTAGTTCTGGCTTTGCATAACTATAATCACTTGGCTTTAGTAAATGTAACCTTTTTGCTACAAATGGAGTTGAGGGTGTTTCTTCAAGCTGGGACAGGTCTGACATGAGTTTCAATAGCTAAACATGGGCTTTGAGTGATATATAATTGCTGCTAGACAAATAAATCCTCTTTTAAAAAAAAAATACCTGATGCTCTTCTTCCCCCTTAATGGTACCTTCAAGATAAAACAGAGATGGAAAACCTGAAAGCCTCCAGATGTTTCATGCAGTCTTCTGTGTCCATGGCCAATGATGACAAACGGTGAGTGCACTGCATAAGCAACATCTGAAAGGCTAGAAGTGGTCCACATATGTACAGAGGCCTTTCCTAAGAAGATATGGCTATGGTGATCTTTATAGAACAAACATTCAAATTGTAATTCAAAACAATTAAAAAGTCTTAAAACCACCTTTTAGCTTAAAATAGTTTTAACTGGCAATGCTGGTGAGATTTCCTTCGCAATGTAATTATCTGGGTAGAATCTTGTTAATCCCAACGTGAGGGGGAAGGAAAATAGTAAGTCTCTGTTATATTTTCCAGTTTCATCATTTCACCTTCATGAAAGTTCAATCTGGAGAGTCTCCCCGTATTTCTTGATCAACTTGTCATGATTGTGATCAACAGACCATTGTGCTGGGAGATGCTTGGGCTGCATAACATCCAAGAAGTGCTGGCGCCAACGTTTCTCCAGCCCCATGAGAGCATATAAGCCCCCTTGAGCAAAAGACTGAACCACTTTCAAGCCATGTGGTACATAGTTCTCGTTAAAAATCCTGAGGAAAAAAGATGAACAAAGGAGGTGTTTGGGAAAGCGCAAGCTTGAAGGATGCCAAACATTTACATTTATTTTATTATTTATAGTTATAACACTTCAAAATGGGCTTCATAGTTTGGATAACATTAGAGACATTGATCCTACAGTGAGGAAGTATAGTGAAAGACAGAAGCATCATTAATAAAAACACTTGAGCATTTTCAAATGGCCATCATCTCACTAGGAAAGCCATGACAAATCAATCTGATGTTAGCTGAAGATGGACAGCAACAGCATCCTCTATTCTGGAACTCTCAGATGTCGCAGCAACCAGGAATCTTGGAAGTGCAACACATACATGCAATTAAACATTTCTTTTTACACAGGCAGAGGTCAGTTAGTACCTGCTGCCTTAAAACCTTTTGAGGCCAAAACATTGGCATAAATTCTATATAGGGCACAAAAAGGAATCCTTGCAAAGAAAGACTTGCTAGAAACCATACAAACCAAATTCCCCACGAGCCATCTTAGCTGCACCCAACAGAACTCCAAATGCCCAGTTAAGAATTGAGACAGGCATGCCTCAAATTCAGGTAAGAGCCTGGAAGATGATGATCATTCATTGGCTTAAAATGCATTTCCTTCCAGAGGGACTGTCCCCACTAGTGTTGACTGACAATTTCCCCTTCCCTAGAAACAGACAATTGATCACAAGCTGGGCTCTTATGGGCTCTC